TTTGTAGACTATATCTATCTATAATATCGATTAAATAAGCCTCTGAAACCCTTAAACTGTCATACTTTTCGGAGGCTTCGCCCCTGGATCACTTTCAAGACATTTTTACCGACGCCTGACCACGCCCACTTCAGGCTACCCCAGCTTATTTCCCTCCGAAAATGTTACCTTGCCCCTCACTTACCCCCCCCCCCAGATTTCAGACGCTGGTGCCGCCACTGAATGTGACTGATAGTTGCCATAGTGATACGAAACATAAACGATATAATTGTTTGATATATTTTTGATTACAGTATAGTGTAATCTACAATACAATACTATATATACACAGTGTCAGGAGGCTTAGGCCTAATGTTTTATTCTTGTTCATACCGGTACTGGTACACAACATTGCCTTTAAAAATTGACATATTTAAATTAATAATATATTTTCATGAGTCTATGTAACCTTACGATCTACGATAACATGTATTTAAGCCTATGTAAATATACATTATTACGTCATTTTTCTGCACATGATGAGTAGGTCCTATCAATGTAAATCTATGTTTAGTAACCATGGGAAGTTATGTACTGCATAGTTCTCATGGCCTTCTACACGTGCCTCTGTAATGATGGATATTTGGTTTTATGTATCGCTCAAGGCTCCGGCCTCCATAAACTTTTTGTTTCGACAGAATGCATTTCATATCTTGGCTACGTCAGCGTTATCGAAAGCAACTCATCAAAAAAATGTTCTATTGTATGGATTACTATCTTATTATGTTATATCGTACGCAGCTTATGAACTGTACTTACAATATAGCCTATTGTACATGGATGTAATATTAGGCCTATTTGAAAGTTATACCACTAATGATACTAATAGCTTCTGGAATCCGTACCGTATAGTGAATTTGTAATATCAATGGTAATTGAGAACCAGATAATTTGATTGGTTAAATTTATTTGTGGGTGTGTTTACATGAGGGTTTTACTCGACAAGGTCCGTCGTATATTAAAATTATTTTTCTTAACATAATGTACCTGAAGGCTTATATTAATGGTTATACATTATATTAGGCTTATTAATATTATAATAATTGGTATTTCTAATTAGGTCTAGTATTATTTTTTAAATAATATCCTGACTCTATGCCACGCAATATCCAAAAGGCCTACGTACCAATAACTTTACTTTTTTATGTTTTAGTAGAACAGGCCTATATTTTGAAAAATACTCAATACCATTTTTAATAAAATGTGTAGCCGCGTTACCGTAATCTGCTATAGAACAATATAAGAAAACGACAACAGCACTTTCTCTAGCTTTCGTCCACAGTGGATTTCACCAGGAATATTTTCTTATTATGTAGTGATGACTAGTAATGACAAACATAACCATGACTTAATTATCATCATTGTCACCACTATCGTTATCATCATCATCGTCATTTTCCAGTTGAAATAGGCCATAATCCACAACAAGATGAACTTAGTTAAATTAATAAAAAGATAAAAACACACAGAACAGAAACAAAACTGTTGCAGACCCCAAATCCATGCTAGAGCCCTAATAGATGAACAGGTTTGATGAAACCATCCATGGATGAAGCAATGAGAATGGCGAATTATCGTAATGAGATTGATAATTGTTGGCATTTCAGAGTAATACATTTCTGTTAATTCACATTACACGTGTTAGACCTCATACAAATTTCCTATTAAATCATTATACTTACATAGCATTTCTTATCAATCCATATCACAGAAATCTCATTGCACGCAGGCGCAGTCAATTTATGACATACGGCGCTCAACCATGGTCCCTTGGTTATCAGGTATCAAAATTACCTTGATCGACCAGTAGCGCAAGAACGATTAAAAACTTTACGTAACCATTTGTTTGTATCGTTGTTTTCTTTACATTTTCAGACGTAGGTTTATCACAGAACCTTTCTTAAAATGTAAAGACAAATATCAGACTACCATTTCACTAACTTATAGGCGTACTAATACATTTATACTTAGGGCTATATATAATTTAGAAATATTATATTTCCACCTGTCCTTGGTATTCCTTTCCTATATTCTTATCAAGTGGAACCTCACTATATCTATATATATATATGGGTATATTTGTGTACGTATGTGTATGTATGTAGGCCTATATTATATTCATTTA